TTTCACGGTACGAAAATTTGGACCGTTTTGGGTTTAAGTTTTCCGCACTCGTAGTTTGGCGACTTGACTCCACGGCACAAAGAGGGGAGGAGACAGCTGTTGCGGACAGGGAGTGCATGGACGAGGGTCAGGTGCCTGACTACCCTGCGTCGAGTCGCTTTCGATTGCTTGAGCAAGTCGATCCGCTCTCTTGGCAGAAGTATCAGACGAGGGCGTGGACGCTGACTCCACGTCTGTATCACCGAACTCTGCCGGAAGACAGCTAAGGCTGTCCCCCTGCAGTTGTGCTGCAAAGAGTTCTGTCGCTTGCGGACGAATCGCCCGCCACTTTAAGAGCAGGCAGAAGCGCAAGGCACTGTTTCCTGCTACCCCAGAGAAATAGCCTGTGAATTTGCAACCTCCTATTGGTTTCCAAGTCTCCACAACCCATGCGGGGGGGAGATTGGGCATGCCGAGTATCGCAATCGGTAGCGTTTCCTACCCCTGTTGCTCCAGCTCTCGTAAAGCAGCTTGCGCTCCAACTTTGGCTTTGCCAAAGGCATGAAATATGGCAGGACGCATTCGGTTGCGCGGCAGTGCACTGGCTTGAAAGAGATGTTCACCTGGCAACGACGCGACTGTACATGGCCCAGTAAGCATTGGAAGCACTGAAAGTATTCCCTGTTCAAAGGTGGCTCGAGCCCAGCTAGTGACCCACGGCGTTCGCTCTCTTCCTGCAGGGGTGAGGGCTCTGGGATGGGATTGCCGTGGCCACTTGATTGTGCTGCCTGGACCAAGTTCATTCGGGGTGATAACAGGGCTAGGCCAAAAGTGCTTACACATGTAAAGCCCATATAAGGACCAGACCATACATAGGTCAAGGGCGGTTTGCATTGCGACACCAACAAAAGGGGTAAACATAGTGCCACTGATGACTGTATCGCTTGGATTGACTGGTGGTCTGGCTCTAGATACCAAGGCAAGGCGGCCCGCCTGGAGGCTCTTCGCCAGGGTCGAAGCAGTAGCATCATAGCGGACTGCGCTTGCTGCGATTGCCGATTGAAACGACCAGTCCTGCATTATATTCCAAGTGAGCCTCTGTGAAGAGGAGCATACCAATTCCTGCACAGGAGCTAGACTCTGAACGTGCACGCCCCAGCAGATCGACCCACTGGTGCTGCTGATGCGCCAGCTGCAGTAGATCTTGCACTTCAAAAAGCGTGACTGGTACACAGTCATTGTCAATGAGTGCAAAGTGTTGCGCCGGATACAAGAAACGCGCTACCTCTAACACAAAAACTCCTGCCCAGTAGTATGGAACCTTGTGGAGTCCAGTAGTAGCATCCGCACACACCCAAAGTATGTCAGTTGTTTCTTCCTGGGGACCTACTAGGCACCTGCGTGAAGCCCACCATGCTGCAAAAGCCGGCCAATGCGGGACATCTGCCGGCATGCGATTGTCCACTATTAAGTAGATCATTTGATTATTCATGATCAAGTCACGGTGTGACATTAGTGTTCGAATGATGGCAGTAGTATCGGGCAAATCACCCTCTGTTTCAAGAGTGGGATACCCCTCATCCTTTTTGGGTGGCTGAGCTCGAACATCGGACAAACCAAGAGTAGGGCAGGCAGAATCAAGGCCGAAAGGACTGCTGAGAGTGTCTTTCATAGCCATCGCTGCATATGCTTCCTCCTGGGACTGGTCCACACTAGCCTCCGTACCCCTGGCAAAGCTGGCCTGGCCATCTGCTGTCCTCCAACCCTTCCGTTAGGTCCAGTGAATTACTGTCCTCCATCCACGGGTCATGTGACATTATTGTTGCTCTGCTCTAAGATACGAATGCAGCCCCCGCCAACTAAGGCTGGCAGTTGCCCTGAGCGCCACAAGCAAACGAAAGGCAACAATGGTGATGTCAGCTAAGGCTGACCTCACACATGTGTGCTGGACGCTACGACCTGCTGCGAGCCAAACATTACAGCAAAGCGCATCTACAGAGGATCAACTGCATCTAGCTTTTCGTGGGGGGCAATTGCCAAACTGTACCTTAAGAACCTAACAAACAAAACAAAAAAAGAGGGGGACATCATGTTGCAGCAGAGGCGTGTCTCTACGACCTTGTAACTACTGGTCATGATCATCCGCGTGTGGATGCAGAAGGGAGAGCAACCAGGCTACGTACACCAGGCCACAAAGTTGGGAATGTAGGTCAGCCAGGGGAGTGAGGAGAGCACCCTGTACATCTTGAGGCATATAGTCTACAGTTTGTTCAATTTCCTGTACCAAAGCATGTAGACCTTGCACTCTTGCATGTAGAGCTGATTCAATCTGGTGGTGTGTGCGTTCTGTGTGCCGCTGTGGGGCCGCTTGCTCAGTAGGCTGCGTGTCTACTCGAAGGGCTTGCTGTCGTTGCCTGTCATCATGAGATCAAAAGCCCACTCGCCTCGGGAGGGAGCCTGACAAGGGGCGTGTCTGTAGGAAAATATCAAGAGGGTCTGCGTTCTCTGTAAGGATCCTAGCGTTCACTGCTTCAGCCAACACTGTGAGGAGGTGGCTTTCATGGTGCTGTATGTGCAAGATCTTCCTGCGGAGTCGAGTTCGCTTTGTGCCATACGTTGTGGCTCCCCTGGTGTTGATTGCAATACAGCCCTGATGATAGAGCGGGATGATGGCCCCTTCAACAGTTGCCCGGAGCTTTAGCAGAGCTGGCGGAAATTCAAACCCTTCTGTCCATTCTGGGAAGGGGGTATGTACGTTTTCTTTAACTGCATCCACTGGAAAAAAATGCAGCAAATAGCGCTGCGCCCTCTGCCCTCTATAGACGAAATTAACAATGAGGTCGAGCACCCCATACCGAATGTCCTTATGGTGGAGCTCAAGACGTACAAAGTTGGTGACATCAACATACGTACCATCGTCGGCCAGAAACACTGGTTCTGGATGTGTCTGCATGGCGAGTCTAATATGCAGCTTGGCTTCACTATAGTGTGTGTAAGCGAAACCCGGCTAGTACTATGCAAAAGAGGACCGGCTGGCAAGTTGTTTCTCTTGCTCTGAGCCAAAGGTCTGCAGAGACAAAAGAAGACGTTTGATAGGGGGCCCTTGTTAAAATGGAAAGCGGGGCATTGGGTCTCTCTACCGATTCACTGGACGGGGCACTTCTTTGGGTGTGCAAATGCACGCGGCGGTGGTAAATGCTCATGCGTGCCGTCCTCCGTAACACGATATTGAATGTGCCCATGTGTGACATACTGGTGTGCAGGGAGTCCACTGCTAGTTGCCTGTCGGGGAGGCCAGCCGGCGGTCGATTCCGTGGTCGGCGGCATCATCGTATCCCCTGGACCAGCAGAGGGGAAGTCTGCGACGGCCATGGCTGCTCAGGGTGCGCGCCAGTGAAAGTGCGTCTTTTGTGTATGCGCACTACTGCAGGGAGAGGCCGTTGGGAGGAGGCACGGGAGTGTGAGCCGGTGACAGGGGTCGTGGAGTTGCATTCAGATAACAGCTGTGCAAATTTGGGCTGCAAAGAATCACACCGCATCAGTGGCGGCTCGTCGGGGTCAAAGCTAAAAGTCTGGCAGAGATAAGTAT